GTAGGAGGAGGCCTCTGCTGACCCGGGTGCAGGGGATAGAGGAGCAGTGTCCACCAGCGTGTGGGGTCTGGGAGGACTCTTGCCTCCTGAGGCTGGGGCTGGCTGCCCAGAGGTTTCTGAAAGTGGCTGACTTCCACTAAGCCGGGCTGGCTGGCTCCTTGGTGGGGCACACCCGCCCACCTATCCAAATGGGACCCATCACCCAAAACCCTTGGCACAGCCCCAGCCTCATTTCTGCCAACTTCCTTCACCTCCCTGGGGTGGAGCATTCGGCTAGAAGGCAGAAGGTCAGCAGGTCAGCCATGCTCTCCACTCGCTGAATGTGTGACTTTGGGCAACTTGCTTAACCATTCTGAACTTCTGTCCCATGTATGGGGCTAATCATTATACTGACCTGTTGCTTCGAGAGAGCTGAGGTTATGTATATAATCGCAGCGGCAGGCCAAACGTCTGAGGCAAGCTGTTACCGTGCCATACTGCTCACTGCAGTGTTATCCTTGCTGGCTCTCTCCTTTTGCCCCATCCACCCAGCACCGCATCTCTGAGCCTTGATCTCTCTCCCCCCGCTCCCCCCTCCACATCTGGGCAGAAGGGGTGCTGGGCAGACCTTTAAATGCCTCTAGGAACAGAGAGAAATGAAGGCCCCTGTCTCGGTTGGTGATCACATTGTTAGTAGCAGTTGGGACTCTGGGCTGGCCCAAGACCAAAGCCACACTGAGAATCAGCAGCACAGGCTGCAAGTTCTGTCCGCCTTCGAAACAGTCCCACGTCACCTGGCCAGTGTGGCTTGGTGGTTAGAGCGTCCACTTGAGCACCAAAGGGTCTCAGGGTCGATTCCCGGTCAAGGTTGCAGGTTTGATCTCCCGGCCCGATTGGGCCCCTCGTGCAGGAGGCAACCAATCGATGTGTCTCTCTTACATCAATGTCTCTCTTTCTCTCCCTTCTCTCCCTCCCACCCTCCCTTCTCTCCCTTCTCTCCCTCCCACCTTCTACTCTCTCTGAAAAGCAATGGAAAAAATATCCTCAAGTGAGGATTAATAAAAAACAAAAAAACAGTCCCATATCCACTCAGGTCTCCTTAAGGGGGAGGAAGGCTGCAGGGTTTCTTACCCGGCTGACAGATGTGGAAACTGAAGCCCAGAGGAAAGCAGTAAGCTTGCCCAAGGACCCTCGGCTACTCGGCCCTCAGAGTGCGGCCCTGCTAAAAATAACTCCTGGGTCCCAGATTGGGAGGGAATGGGATTCTGGGGCTGGGGTTGACATTTGCCTTCAGCCTTGACTGCTGGTGGGTGTTGTGTTCGAGAGCCTCTGACAGTGAAGATGACGCAGACT